TAATTGGTTCACTTCACCCTGAACCCATTCTCCCACAATGATTTGGTGTGTGGTTTACTTATTTTCGGGCTGTTCTTTCACCTAACGTGCTTGAATTATTAATTAGGGTACATAAACATATAGGTGTAGTGCTGGTCGCCTGTAATAACCATTGGGCCTAATCGAGACAAGCGGCCATTCAAAGCAAGATTATGCATTTACGAACAATTGGGGAATTTTTACAAAACAATTTTTATTTTAATTATCTCAAACACACAGGCAAAACTGATATAAAAACAGACACAATACGAACAAAAACCAGAGACTCAAAAGACATTTAAAAGGCAGAATATTTTAATGGCGAAACTGCCATTAATCTTCATATTCATTAATTATTTTTCGTTTTAGTTCATTTTTAAAAGACAATCTACTAAGTTGCTTCAGTAGTTCGTCGACTAAATTCCACGTTTTAGCACCAATAAATCTAATATTAAATTTTCCGTAATTGGTTCTAACTTTAGGTAACAAGAACGTATTTTTAGTTGCTAGTCGTGTTTCATAGTTATGTTTAGCACTAACAGAGGAGAAGAAATCGTTAAAATTGTCAGGAAGGTTTCCATTTTTATGATCATAATTATATAAATAATGCAGTGTTGAGGAAAATAATATCAACCAGTTTAAGTAAACTCATAAACTCACTCGCTCGAAAGTCAGAAAACGTTATAATTCGTAAAGCCTTTTTTTGCAAAGTTACTAATGGCTGAATATTTGAGTTGTATGTGTTACCCCATATAATCACGCCATATGACAGAAACGGGTAAATAATGGAATAATAGATTTGTAACAGAATTTTAATTGGGACAAAGTGTCGGAGTTTTGATAATATGCCAATACCTCTAGATATTTTCTTAGATAGTTGAGATACATGCTCTTTCCAATTTAAATGGTGATCAATAATGATTCCCAAATACTTTATGCTACTCTTTTCTTGTAAGGTTTTATTGTTAATTTTAAGGTTCATCGAATATTGAGATTTCTTTTGAGGTGGATGAAAAACTACAAAGTTAGATTTCTCAATATTTAAAAATAATTTATTTGCACAAAGCCACTCATTAACATTATATAAGTGATCATTCAACATTGTATCCAAATGCTGCAAACTCTTATGTGAACAAAATAGATTAGAGTCATCAGCAAATAGGTTAAAATCCAAGTCAGGAGCATAATTGTTAAAGTCATTAATGTAGAAGAGAAATAAAAGAGGACCAAGAACTTGACCCCTGAGGAACACCACATGTCAATTGCTTAAGTTCTGACTTTATATCACCAAAAGAAACAAATTGATACACCTATTAGCAAGATATGAACAAACCCAGTCTTTAGCAATTCCCCTTATCCCATAATATTGCAATTTTCTAGATAAAATTTCATGATCGACAGTATCAAAAGCTTTGCTAAAGTCCAAAAATATACATACATACATACATTCATTTATTGGGTTATTCCCCGAAGGGCTTTTCAAAACACAATTAAATCTTTTGGAATAATGTAAAAAAATTGTATATGCTAATTATTAAAATTGATTTAAAACGTTTAGACTAAAATATATACGACTATAGTATACAAGTGTCATTCGGAGTGTTGAAATTAATCATGTTCCTTTACTAGAAGACTGTCCAGCAAATAAGTTTTAAGCTTACTTTTAAAAAGTCTGAGTGACTGAATTTCCTTGAGCTCATTCTCCAGGCTGTTCCATATTTTGACAGTTATAGTAAAACGTTCTTTGTATGGAATAGCGGGATATCTAGCTGGTTATTTTTGCGAGTTTGGCGGCTATGTAACTTCGACCTCTTGACAAACTTGTCGCAAAGGTATGGTGGCGCGAGCTTATTTAAACACTTATACGCCATCACTGTATCTTTGTATTCCAGTTGTTGTTTTATAGGTAACCAGTTAAGCTGACGTATGGCAGGGCTTACGTGGTCATACTTTTGTATGTTGCAAACGATTCTGCAGGCAAAATTTTGTACCTTTTGCAGTTTTTCTATGTTTTTGCTGCTCGTGTTGGCCCATACCAACGAACAGTACAAAAGCTTACTCATGACCAATGATGAAATAATCAGAAGTAGCGTTTTATGATCAAAACTGTTTTTGACCCCATTGATCTGGCATAGTTTCGACATACAGGATGAAACAACTTTGGTAATGTGGGAGTCAAATGTGAGGTGGGTATCAAGAGTAACACCTAAATCACTCGCTGACGTAACAGGTTTAATGACTTCTCCAAGAAAGGTCAGCGACATTTCCTTAGGGAGTCTCTGCAATAATTGTTGGGTTCCTATAAGGATAAATTTGGTTTTCGAAGAGTTAGGTAGTAGTTGGTTTGTAGAACACCAGTTGGCAACTCTTGCAAGGTCTTGTTCTAGATTTATGGTTGCTTGGTCCAGGTCTTTAATGAGAAAATATAATAGGACTTTCGAGTCGTCTACGTAAGAATCAAGGTTGGATGTTTGCGGTGCCTGAGGTAGATCGTTCACATATATACTAAACAACAGAGGCGATAGAATGGCACCCTGTGGCACACAATGCGTGATGGGGAGAAGCGAGGACACTGCAGATCCAATGCGAACGTACTGACTTCTACGAGAAAGATAACTACAAAACCAATTTACCATGTCTGGCGACGCACCCACACGACTAAGCTTTTGAAGTAAGATGGTATGACTAACGCTGTCGAAAGCTTTGGAAAGGTCTAACAGGATGAGTGCTGACAGCTTCTTCTTGTCCATAGCCTCCAAGATTTTATCACTGACCGATATGTTGAGTATCTCTGTAGAGTGTTTTTTCCTGTTACCACTTTGGCGCAGAGAAAGGCGATTATTTTCCATTAGATAGCAACTGAACTGATCAAGAACTACTCTCTCACAAACATTGGAGGCAACGTTAAGAAGCGAAAGAGGTTGGTTATTTGAAGGCACTTCGTGATCTCCCTCTTTCAACAATGGTATTAATTCGGCTATTTTCCATGCATCTGGGAACTCAGAGGTGGTGAGCGAGCGGTTTATTATGCTAGTTAGGGGTTCCAAGATAACATGGAGACAGTCTTTGATAACCCGGATGTTAATTTTATCTGGACCAGGAGATTTATTTGAAGGCATGGAGATTATAATAGCGCGAACCGTTGCGCTCGAGACTGGCCTGAGGTTGAACTGGTTTACTGCGACAACTATGATAGGTATGGGTGTAGGATTTGATAAAATATTTCCATTGTGCACATCTGCAAGGCGCATAGCTTCTTTAGCGGTGTTGCGACCGACAGAGGAAAAATACTGATTGAATTCTTCTGCTACAAGGTGTCGGTCTTTACACATATACCACATGAGTATTGTTTTTTTTCAATAGCATTTTGAATCTTGTCTATAATAAGTAGTGTAGCATGCACAGTAAAGCGATTAGATTGAAAGCCGAATTGACTGTTGAAAAATACACTATTATTCTCAAGAAATGTGAGAAGTCTCTTATACATTAATTTTTCAAGTAATTTATAAAATTTTGAGAGCAATCAGATGGGGCGATAATTTGAAGTAACAACTCTGGCTCCTTTCTTGTGGATGGGAACAACCCTATGAGATTTCCTCTAGAGATCCTCTTTATCAGATTGTTGATCAGATTGATTTGCTAGACATTCACCATGTTGTTTTTCCTCATGCCTGTAATGAATCAAATAATCTACACGTATCAAATAATCTACGCATATGAATACTCAAACAGTCTGAGTTTGGGTGTATTAGTTGGTTAACACATTGCTAATAAATGTTTAATTGTGATATAGTCAAATTAACCGATCAGATGGCAATGCGCTCAGATGCACCCTACTTTAGCATTAATTCTGTCGACCGCAATGATAATTAAGATTCAGTTTATACAGTACTCTTCGATCAGATCCCTCTTAATCACTAATAGTAACCAAAATTGCATTCAAATTTATGTTCATTTGAGATAAGTATGACAATAAATTGGTGTTGCATTTTAATTAAATACCTATTTCTAGGTTGTCCTGGTCTTAAAATAAAAGACTTCACCACATCGTATTCTACAGTTGTAATATCCAAAGGAATCTTTTATGCTACCATTGTCAAATGAAAGATAGTGGCATTCATTTTCATGCCTAAAATGAAACAAAATTGAACACAATGTTTAAAAATGTGGCTTAAGAATCTTTTTGTTGTTATTTTGCAGATTTGCATTCACCCGATGCAAACAAAATCAGTATATATGCTGACAAAATCATTGACCACATCCATATATATACTGCATTGTATGATCACCTTGATTACCCTCACAAATGAAACCACGAGTTACGTGTTTGCATATTCAGACCTGAATTATATATGATATGCTAGACATTCTGTTTTACATAATAGTTGCGATCTTCGTATTGAAAAATGCCAAAAAGAAAGAAAACCAAAGAATTTTTGGAGGATATTGGCAGCTTTGAGTTAAGTGTTAGTCATACGGGGAGGCTTGTTAAGGAAAACAGGCATTTAGAGCTTATTCTCCTAGCTTTCTTGGATGTAGGAGCAAGGATCAGGATGTGTCGGGAAGATCGAGCAACAAACATGACCATGGGACACATGATCTAGGAAATATTTTGTGCGAAGATACAAGTCTTTTTGAAGAGAAATCAGACAAAGAAGCTTATTGCCGCACAACAAAAGAAAATTCTGGCTTCTTTCATCATGGAGAAAGGAGTGATAATATTTGATAAGGGCATACAGGAAGTCAAGCCATGTTCCCCATACAGCATTTTGCTGCAATTGCTTGTCTGAAAATCCAGCATTTCGGTGTACAGACTGTGGATCTTACTCTTTATTTTGTTCCAAGTGTTTGGTTGCAGTTCACGACACTAAAAACTAATTTCCTTCACCAGAGAAATGGCAGGTATTGGGAAAATGCAAATTACTATGAATTCAATACAATTATCATTGATAAATTGTATCAATATTAGTCAGAGTCACTAAAGTTCTGTATATGATCACGGGTGCTAGGGACACCCTACCCCTGAGCTACCCTGGGAGTATTCATTATATAACATTGGAAATGGGCCATTCTATTTAATATAGGCAACCCCCCCCCCCTCCCTCCCTTCATAATCACCTTAGGATATAAAACATTTGAAACATCCTTGGATGCATTTTGTGGAAGTTACCCCAGAGGATATCTTACTAACCCCTTTAGGATATCACTTTTTCCTTCTTGGATATCACTAAAACACCTAATTTTTGCCATTTTTTTAATCTCTCATTCAAGCTACACTCTAGGAAAATTTAAGATGAAGACCCCTATAAATAGGGAACGAGGGCCTCCCCATTGGATACCCAGACCCTTCAATAGTTAGGGACCAGTCATAAAGTAAAAGGGGTGGGTGGGTCATTATTTTTGAGCACAGTTGAAGGGGTTGGTAATCAAAAGTTAATTCCAATCATAGGGGTGGGCCATGTAAAAATATGCAGAAATTTTTTCAAGGGCATATGTATTAAAATTCATGTTATAAAATTATATAGCAAAATTTCCTGCTGCACAAAAACAATGGATAATTCAATTAACATCATCACTTAAGAAATAAATTTTCACATTGTCATTGGCATATTAATTAAATTAAAGCATCTTCCAATTCATGATATCTTGATTATTAGATTACACTGATATTGAATATTGCATACTCAAACCAACCTGACCGTGTAGCTCAGTTGGCAGAGCATTGGGCTGGTATTCCAAAGGTCGTAGGTTCGAATCCCACTGTGGCCAGGCATATTTTTCAAGCCTGCAGTGGCGAAGCCAGCAGTCATGCAGTGCATGACTAACAATTCCCCCAAAAATGTTTAAAAATCAGTTCAGCACAATTGTTTAGAATAGAATTATACTTTATCTTTGAACTTCTACACCTAAGTATTTATTTATTATTTTGTTTACCGAAATCAATGGTCTTTAGGCGATATTTTCGCTAATATTCTCGTATGTTATTGATTTTGGCTTTGTTACCTTGGCAACTGAGCGGCCTTGCATATTTTCACATGCATGACCGGTTGCATAAGCGCGTGGAAAACTATTGCGTGTGATTTGCTAGCCGTGTGTTTTGGTCACACATTTTCAGAATTTCATGACTAGCTTTTTTTATGCCTTGGTCATGCAATTTTCGATTTGCATGACTAAATGGGCAACAACAATCTGATCAGAGCCTCTTAGCTCGAAGCTTTCAGCCCGAATGAACATGGCATCAGGTCATTCAAGCATGTTGAGTTCTTCACTCTGGAAGTCTTTATTTCAAAAATTTTCCCGGGGGGGGGGGCATGGCCCCGGACCCCCTAGCAAGCCTCACACAGACCTGCCAACTTTTCAAAATGCAAAACCTGGATATTTTAAAATATAATGATAAAAACCTGGAGATTGATGGTCAAACCTGGAGATTTCATTATATGCCTAGTTTTTATTTTAAAATCTCTTTACAATGATTTTAACTTATCATACTATATTAGGTGAATCCAAATTCTAGATATCTCATATCACCACTAAACTATAACTTGCAGTTCAACACAAACGTATATGTTAATTATAATGAAAATAACGAAAATATTCTCTAAGAGCTTCATCAGGATTCCTCCTGAAACAAGGTACAGGGTATTGTAACTTCATAGCCAGCAGATTGGAAAGAGTTCCATCAAGCTTTAATGATGATCTACTATCTGTCTTGTTCTTATAAACCATACTAAAGAGCCTTTCTTCCACGGCATTGCTATGCGGTAGAACCAGGAAAGCAGTGGCGAAGCTAGAGGTCGTGCTAGTCGTGCTGAGCACGAGTAAAAAATTTTCAAAGAAAAGAATTTTTTAGTCTTAAAAAAAAATTCCCCAAAAATTTTAAAAATGATTCGTCGTACACTTGCGTCATCTATTAAGTGCGAAATCCCTTCAAATCCGGTGATTTTGCCATGATTTTAAACCAATTCAAGGTATGATTGCGTAGTTTCACCCGACCGCAGGTTAATAGCACGACTAATGGGTAATCCGCCCGTTAGTCGTGCTCTCGTCAGGTCAGCACGACTAAATTATCAATTCCAACGCATTCTATTGGCTAAATTGCTCCTCGCGCATGCGTATCTCGCCGAATTTTATCTTCTGGTCGTGCTCATCTTCGAACGCACGACCAAGTTAAATGCCGTAAATTATTCAGCAATTCTATCGAGATTTATTCAAGTGATCTTGGTTATGTATCTATGGAAATTGACCAACGTCAATCGAGTGAATAGTAGGAAGGCCTTCTGGCTTCTAACAAGATATTTTAGCTCACGAAATGCATGTGAACAGACTCGATTGTGTATTCTACTGTATTATAATGGCGAATATAAACAAGATTAGTGAAGGCCTTTCATATTGATATAAATATATTTACTACCAGTTCATTTGCTTTATTCACGAGTGCTTATATATTTTGAGTTTACAGCTATACCAACTATCTAAACAAAGTATCTTTCAGCATTAGGTTTCTGCTTCAGATTTACAAGGTCCTTGTAGACACTGTACATTACAGTTGACCTTTACGCAATTCCAAATGAAAGATCATATTACAGCACTCAGCAGGGTATTAAAATGTACACATACAATATTCTCCTCTTTCTTCTGCCAATATTGGCTATATTGAGCGTCATTTGCAGATAAGTTTAAATATATAGTGAAATAAAATTAAATTTTGTGGAAATACAAATTTCAAAAACAAAAAGTGTTAAGAATTTTCCTCTTTATATCACACTTTTTTGTAGCTTTCTTTGCATGAATTTCACCCTAAAATCGCAGGAAATGGCCATTCCAGACTTCGAAAATCAAAATTTTCCCGGGGGTGCATGCCCCCAGACCCCCCTAGCCTGTGCGGGTCTTAGAGCATGACTAGTCGAATTCCCTCAGCTTCGCCACTGCAGGAAAGTTCTGCTACGGTTGCAGGAGTGCAAATTGTTTTTTTCAACAACGTTTCCAAAAACAATTATATCGAGACTGGAAGTGGAAAAAAAATTTTTAAAGGAGAAAACCCATTCCCATGGTCAAAAACAATCTGAACAGAATATATACAGAAATCATCATTTATAAATACATTTTCAACGTTGTTGTTGTGCAAACCAAAACACAAAAAATCAAGACAAACTCAAACTCAATAGACAATAGGTATGTTTTGAAAAATATATTTCAACCGTTTTATAATATAAATGGAGTTCAATAATCTTTTTAAACTTACACAACTACTTTTTTTTTCTATACATTGCTTGAGGTAACAATTTTGAAATCATATGTTTTTGACAATCATTTAGGCGATTTACACTTTATCAACAACTGAATCTTTTTGTTTCAAAAACATGAAAACACTTTGTTTAGATTGAAGAAAAACGAAACACAACTAAGAATCAACTATCATTTTGTAATTTCATAAAATATTAGGAAAACAGAGCAAGCACAAATGTTTTATGATTAAATTAAATTTTATATGCGTAACTAAATTGTTTTTACAAGGCTGCACACAAGCGGCCCAGACGTGTATTAGTGTATAGTAAATATATCATTATAGAATATACTACACACTAAAATTTGTAATGAATTTTATATTTTAAAATGATATTTACTTGCCTACTTTAATTGTATGTGATTGTCTTTTATTTCTGAGCGACTTTACATTCGATGCCTGCGACTGTCTTCATAGGTGATAGTATTGAAAGCAAAGGCTAACGATTCCAGTTCTCAAACAGCCGACACAAACAATTCAAATCGAAAAATATCCCCTTCAAATTGCTTTGTTCCTGGTAAAACTTCGCCAGCGTATAGAATAAACACCCATCTTCGAACATACAAAGCAATATTAACACGTCCTATAAGTTTTGCAATGGATTTTTAGCAAAATCTTTCAAGACTAAAATTCTATGGAACTTAGAAAGCCCGATCATTACTACGGCCACCTACCTAGCCTCCTTTACCGTTTGGATTGTCAGGGGGGGATTCAAATAAAAAACACCGTTTTTGTAACGGCACATTTGCTTTGAGCCTTTAAAGAACTTGATATTTCAAATTCTATCCCCAAACTACAAATACAAAACGTTTTGACAATGAGAACTTTATAGTTTTGTTTATAGTTTGTAGTTTCTACTCCTACTTAAATTCAACATGCTGGATTTATAAGGGCATTTTTGTTTTCAATTTGGATACCGGTCATGTGACCAAGCATGCATTCTAGGTCTAATATTTCTATGCCTTGATCCCATGAGGATTTTTTCGAGTATTAAGTGTGAAGTACATTACACGCAACCAAATGTTTGACGTAAAACTGTGGCCACCCATCATTCTTTAACATGTTAAACAATCCTTGTGTTGCAATGTATCAAATAAAAGTAAGTAATTTAATTTTTATTAAATTTCGTTCTCCAGTTTTACACTGAATAGCTGTTATCGTAATTGAATACGTCTATGCTACGGACCAGCGGTATCTACATTATTTTAACATCGAGATGAGGCTATAGGGTCATGTTTTGTGTTTTTTGACCCCTTTAGCCTCGTTTTCATGCGTACTTCCACTGAGATACCGCTGGTTCGCCGCAGCGGCGTATTCAATTACGATAACAGCTATTAGAAGCATGACCACTGGATTTTCAAGTTATAGTGATAGACTTAAGAAAAATTTGATAGTTTCTGATGAAAGAACTCTAAGTAACGAAATCAACAAGGAAAAAGATCTTGTTGATAAAATCCACAAATTAAAACAGGCTATTCCCATTGGCTACGATGACTTTATTTAAGTAGATGATATAGCTGAAAGTCCTGGCAAAAAATTATCAGGATCTCAAAACGAAACAAGAAATCAACGAGTTAAGGATTCGTTCATCTAACTTAGAACGGCAGGTAGAGAAGTTGCAATGAAATGTACACTGCATGAAAAGCCAAGTATTCAGATGTGAATACGTGTGAATATCAATTTGAATATGATGAATATTCACTGCGAATATCCTCGGAATATTAGTAGTATTCAGATATGAATACCTTAGACTAAAACGCACCTCATATTCACCTAGAATACGTTTGAATATTGTGTGAATATTTTTCAAGGCATAGTATTCACACTTGCGTACATTATTAAGTGATTTTGTGTCGATATTAAATAATCAAAATATTATTTTGATCAAATATGTGTACCTGATTGTGATTATATAGCTAAGTTTTGCTAAACTGCGCATCAGAGTACTTGCTTCCTAGTGATTCTGCAATTGTCTGGCAGTTATCGAGAATTGGGATTCTACTTGGTTTGTTGACTAAACGATTGTTTGTTGACTCGACGATATTTTGGTTTTTTAATACTTTCTATGTCATCATGTCATGCTAATTTATATAAATCTGAGTGCGCTGTATGCCCCTGAACTTATCTCAAAATTTACAGTAAATAAATATTGAAAAGAATAATATAAATTTACGTACATCGCTAGGTGCAAGGGGTTATAGATATTTA